CTGTGATGAGATGCGTGTATATGTTTGTCTGCGTGTGAGTGTGTGTGTGTGTGTGTGTGTGTGCGTTTCCTCCCAGGCCGCTCCACCTCCCGAGCAAACTGCCTCTGCATGCATAATTAACTGAGATGACTGGGGAGGTAAACACACAGGGAGACGTCCCATCCCTCCACTCTTTATGCCGCCATTTTTTTTGTATGCGTGTGTGTGTGTGTGTGTGTGTGCCTGTGTGTGTTTGTTTGTGTCAGACAGACAGAGTGCAAGGAAAAGATTTGAAGCAGAAGTGCTTCAGAGTCACAGTTGATGGAACGAGAGAGAGAGAGCTGTCTGTATCTCCCTTTGTGTGTGTGTGTGTGTGTGTGTGTGTATGTGTGTGTGTGTTTGTGTGTGTGTATGTGTGTGCGTGCGTGCGTGCAACAGAGAAAGGAGATAAATCCCATCTCAAGCTGCCTCTGAAGATGATGCGATGAAAGCGAGGGAGAGAGAGGATAAAAAACGAATGAAGGCTGTAACCAGTCACAGCTCTGCACATTATGAACCATCCAGCGGAAAAATCCGATTCAGCCATCTCTCCCTCCCTCTCGCTCTTTCCCTTCTGTCTTTCCATCCTGAATGTGTTTTATTTGGAGACCGACGCATTCTAATACTCGAGATGGGACACTCCTGCTGTGTACGTCCTTTTAATGCATATGGAAAGTCATACTCAAGGTGACTTCATGGTTTACAAATCTACAGTAACACACCAAAAAAAAAGAGAAGGCCTTGAGGGAAGCTTTCTCGATAAGAAATGGAGAAGTGCTCCGTGGTAATCAATCACTTGTAGCAGCTCATGTTTGTGTGTGAAGCTGAGCATTTGGCTAATTATGGACCTGCATAGTAAGTTTCCACACATCTACAATTTTGTATGCATTGGACCCCGGTGTGTATGTGCATCTGTGTGTTTGTGTGTGATGTTTGCTGGAGCTCATATTTCCCAGGAGCCCAGGTTGTAAAGCCCACTCAGTCAATCATCGCTCCTCCTCTGTCCTCTGCATCCTCATCCTCAAACTTATCATTCTATCACTCTTTTCCTGCTTTTGCATCCCCCACACTCAATTCCCCCCCCCACCCCACCCCACCCCCCCGATTTTGCTCGGTCTCGTTGTCTTTCCCCTCTTGCTGCCATTCTCCTCTCTATTCAATGCGCGCGAGAGAAAAACAAAGAGAGAGAAAGAGAGAAAAGGAGAAGAAAGAAGGGAGAGATGATGGAATAATGGAGGAGATGAGCACCTTCCCAGCACAGATAACATTGTGTTGAGAAACGCAAGAAGACAGTCTATTTAATAAGAAGGAAGAGAGAGCAAAAGAATTTGCATGCCTCTCCGTGTGTGTGTGTGTGTGAGGGACAGCGGGCAGTACGTGTGTTTGCTTCACCTTCATCCTCCTTTCTCTGCGCTCAAGCACCAGCAAAATCAATGTTAGCACTACCTCACTAAACAGACGCAGGTGGACTGATAGACAGCTAAACCAGGAAGATTTGGTGATCTCAGCATGCGTCCTTCATTCGCTCTCCTCTCTGACCCCTACCGAGGCTGTGGCATAGCGCAACCATAAATACAGCAGTCGGCCAACTCCACAGTGCCAGGGTTCTCTGTGGAAGATGGCTATGAAAGGAGGAGGCGCAGCACAGAGGTGGAGGAGAGACGTGCCTGGAATGTAGACACTGGCATATGCACGAGTGCATTTGGGTACAAGAGAAAAGACTGATGGAGGTGAAGTAAATTGATTGGGGAAGGCATTCCTTTGGTTTATTTGCTTCTTAGTGTGAGAGAGAAACACACACATGCACACATTTGGTTAAAAGTCCAATTAATCCTTATTGAGAGTGGACTGTTGAGGAGACGAACAGAGACAGACAGACATCAAATGCAGTGTGTTTGAGGCCATCTTATTCACTGTGCTTGGTAGGCTTGGTCCTTGTCCTCTACAAGCATGTTATATAGGTCATTGTGTAAACAAGTGTCCTACTCACACACAAACACACATACACACCACCTCAGGTGAAGCCACAGTAGGCTGCAGGCAGAGAAGAAGGTAGGACAAAGAATCTCAACGGGAATCTGCATCTGTGTGCATTTGTGTTTGTGTATAATTAAGCAGTACCAACATCTGTACACCTACACTGTACAGCACAAACCTACGCCAATAAAATCACTCACAAACATGCAAGAATGTACGCAACATTCGCACACAGCTTTCTCCTATCACACGCGCACACACTCCGTGTTTCTGTGATGAATAATGCTACTGTGCATCTGGTGGGATGCACCACTGTCCCCGGGGTGGGTTGAATGCAGGGATATTGTGCTGAAGCTCCCCAACAAACACACATATACACTCAAACACATACACACACGTTCACAGAGGCTCAGTGCTCTGTCTCCAGGTGACGCTTTTCCTTTTTTAGATCAAGAGCAAGAACACTTTCCACCCCTCCTTCCTCTTTTATATGAATGCAGGAAAGCACCTCCCCTCCTCGAAAAAAAAACAAAACCACAAAACAATCACCCCCCTGCACCTCTCCATCACATGCACACATACACACATTACAGGCAAACATCCCCTCATTCGCTCAGATATACCATACCCCCTTCTGGTGTACTGAGAGCATGCACACCAACACAGAGTGTAGCACTTCCTGCTTCCCCTTGGAGAAAATTGGAGTTTGCATCTGTGCGGGAGAAAGCAGGGAGAGGAGAGGCGGGGAGAAAAAGAGGGCTTGGATGTACCTTTCATGAAATGCTGCATCAAAAACAAGCCAGAAAATATTGCTTCACAATGCTTGTTTATGTAAGAAACTGTAGTTTCTGGAAGAGCTTGAGGAAAATAAGGAGAAGAAGAAGTTTGTGGATCGTGTTTTGAGACCTGAAACGGTTACAAATAATCTCCTAAAAACGTTAAACACACATTGTTATTATCCCGCCTACCTGCAGTCTGTGAACATGTGCCTGGCTTCGCTTATGCACGCCTGCATCTTCACCCACACCCGTACAAACATTATTTATTTATATGATAAATAAATAGCTGATTTCAAAAGTTCAGTGCGACACCTTTCATCGTGAAAAGACTGAAAAAAGATCCAGGAGACACACAGATACATGCACATTTCTTCACGTATGAACAACAGTTAGCAGCTGGTAGTATTCTAAGAAATCTACAACACAGTTCTTGTTGTGTAATCATCAGTGATGGGAATAACGGCATTACAAGTAACGGCATTACTAACGGCGTTTCTTTTTTCAGTAATGAGTAATCTAACTAATTACTATTCCTATCGTTACAACGCCGTTACCGTTACTAACAAGAAAATGCGGTCCGTTATTATTTTTCAACAAACAGGTGCTTACCGCACCTTATATCAGTTGCACGGAAGTAATCTGGACGCTACAGCTTTAAGCAGCTGCGCGCGCTCCCGCGGACCAATCACTTTCTGGTAGACAAATCACTTTTAGCCCCACTTTTGGCAAGGGGGAAAACAATCGCACCTCCAGTGCTGCTGTTTGACTGTGGAAGAATATAGTAGTCATGGTAAGCCAATAACATGACCACTTCAAGATGACAAAGCAACAAGGTGATCTATATCAGTTTTTAAATTGTGTCGATAGGCCAGGTAAAACCAGAGTCATGATAAACAATATACCCGCGTTTTTTCCTCAATATTGTCATTAAGTTTGCTGTCTAAGGACAGCGCTAGCAAGCACTCTCTGCTTATGACCAAAAAATAAAACAAAACAAAACAAAAAAAACGCCCGTTCGTGTTGGTGGAAAAATGCACCATGCCGACCAATCAAAAAATGATATGGCGACATGACATTTGGTTTAGGGAAGAGGGGGGAGTTTTAGGAGTGACAGCGAGAGAGAGCAAGAAAGAGCAGAAACAGAGAGAGAGCGAGTTTTGAGATGTGAGAGATTTGTGACGTTTAGCGTGTTTGGAGTGTGTAGTTCATGTGTTGTCTTGTGTAGTTAGTGTGTAGTGTTGTGGATAGTTTTGTGTTGCGTGTCAGAACAATGAGGTGACTGCTGTCTCCAGGTAGAAAACAGGAGTGATGCACCTGCTGCTGTCAGACCTGCAGGTATCAGGCTGTGATGTTCTCCTTTATAGTGGACAGAAATTATTTTTTTGGAGTGGCACAAATAATTTGTGTGGCATCTTATTGAATGCAGAACAGCTGATTGTTATGTTTGAAATGGGTATAAAAAAAAGAGTAAAAGGTAAATGGCTGCAAATAACTTGTGCATATGATTTTAAAATTCACAATTTATATTTGCATTTAAGGTTATGAAATATGATTCATTGAACATGTTTGTGGTTGTTTCAGTGAAAATATCACTTTTTCTACTCGGATTTGATGTTTTTGTCTGATTTTAGATCAATTGTGTTAATACAGTATATCAAAATGAAAACATAACTGTAAATTCAGACACGTGAGGTTGTGCTGAAAAGAATGATACCAAACAAGGCAAAGTAAATAGTTTTTAAAGGTGAAATGTCAAGGTAAAATCAAAAGTGGTTAAAATGGCCAAATATACCCTGGACCCCAGAGGCAAGTAACGCAATAGTTACTTTTCAAGTAATTAATTACTTTTAGAATCTGGTAACTCAGTTACTAACTCAGTTACTTTTTTGAAGAAGTAACTAGTAACTATAATTACTTACTTTTTCAAAGTCACTTGTCCAACACTGGTAATCATGTTATGGTGATGAAGTGAATATATTTAAGGAGTGAACGGTGCATGTACCTGTGTCTGTGTGTCTGAATGTTTGTGAGCCGGAGTACAAAAACTGTCATCATTAGTTTCTCATAGAAAGGGAGAACTTTCCTTTGACTCCAGGTGAAAGTAAAAATAGATTTAGACACTGAATATCAAAGGAGAAGATGCAGAATAGTTGAACTCCAGGCTCAGCAGCACTAACCCTCATCATTTCTTCTTTTTCTCACTTTTCCCTCTCTCCCTGCCTCCAGAACCCCCAACCCCCCCTTTCCCCTTTCCCGTCTCACCTCACCTCCCCCTCCCTGCTCTGGCTACAGACGGAGAACGTTATGCAGTCCTTCCGTGAGCGCAGCGGTGGTTACCACAGCAACCAACCCTGCTACCAGCAGGAGCCCCATGAATTATCCCGCCTGGAGACCTACCGGCAACACCCGCATCATCCCCATCCACAACACCCGCACCCAGGACCCGGTCCACATCCAGGCCCAGGCCCGGGGCACACCAGGTCAGGCTACGAGGCACATTCCTTGGCAAACCCGACAACCATGCCGACAACTGGAGGACCAGGAATTGGAGGCGGACCTAAGGACTGTTACAGCCAGCAAGCCTACGCTGGTTACCCAGGAAATGGCGGAGGAAATGGGAGTGGAAATGGGGGCTCAGCACCCTCACAAGCAAAGAAATCATTCAGAGGAAGCAAAGTGCCCCCACCGAATCCCAGTCAGCACCTGCAGGGTCCCGGGGGCTACAGTAATCACATGGGCCCAGGAACTTATTCAGCCCAATATATGAGTGAAGGCCACCTCCAGCAGAAGTGGGAGGACCCAGCCCAGTTAGCACAGTATGAGCAGGAAATGGTAGGACGTTTGGAGTCTAGTGGTACTCCTGCACCTAGTTCCTCCCAGTACATGGAGCAGAATATGCTGGGCCACTCCCAGACCCAGTGCCACCAGCCCTCTACCCCTGTCTATTCCAGCCCCCACCACCAGCCCCATCCTCCCAACCCTTCCCCTTCACCTCTCATGTATCCCCAGAGTCACCTACACTATCCGCAGCACTCACCCTCTCCATCTACATACATGGAAAAGTGCAGCCCTATGCCCCACTGTTACAAAGGGTACAACTTGCCTCCAGGTTCTCAGTATGGCAGACAAATGAGCAGCCATGGCAATCTGAAGCAGGGGGCCTACAGGTCGAGCCAAAACAGTTACGGATATCAGCAGCCTCCCTCCAGAGGTTACGAGCAGCAGCCCATGACCAACCCCCAGGAACCCCATCCAAAATACCAACATTATAGCCAAGCCCAACAAAACTACTGTCTCTCAGAGTTGCCTGTCAGGTCCCCAGAACAGTATTATCAGACTTGTAGCCCCTCCTCGAGCCACTCCCCAGCCCGATCTGTGGGGCGTTCCCCTTCATACAGTTCCACCCCTTCACCGTTAATGACCAATCCAGAGTCATTCCAGTATAGCCAGCCACCTATGACCCCTGGAGCAGCCTCCTCCTCTTCATCATCTTCAGCTGGCATGCAGGAACAAGCCAGTGCCAACACTATGTTAATGCCCCCACGCTCACACCCCTCACCCAGCATACCGCACAGCTATTCCACAACACCGCAGGTCCCCACGATGAAAGAACGCTTCTCAGAGAAGCTATTGTCAAACCCCAGCTTGTGGAGTCTGAATGCTCTCACCTCTCAGGTGGAGAGCATATCTAATAATGTACAGCAGCTCCTGCTTTCAGAGGCCCTGGTTGCAAACAAAAAAGGCAGTAAGCGCAGCAGTGGCGGGAGCAACAGCAGTGCTGGAAGTGCAGTATCCTCCAAAAAGGGTGAGGAATACAAAAGTCCTCCATATCCAGACAGTGGTGGCAGTGTGGGTGGGGGACCTATACAGGATGCTTACTGTACCCCACAGCATCAACCACTGCCCATGGAAATCCATGAGGGTGGCTACTCCAGCAGCAGCGATGAACCGCTGGAGAGGGGCTACTACTACTTTGGCCAGGGCAGAAGTCCGGCCCAGGCCCATAACAACACACAGCTCAGCGTCGACACAGCCTCTTCATGCTCCATGGCATCTCCCGATGACATGTCTACCAGGTCTGGCGACTCAGGTCTGCACAACCTCACCCCTGACCCTGCTAGATGTCAATCAGGGCAGGGAGGAGATGGCATGAGCACTCCAGTGAAGAGCATTAGTGACGAGAGATCTCCAACAAGCATTACAATCCCCAGTCCCATGAAGCAAGAACAAGATTCTCCCTCTGATATGCAGCACATCAATGAGCCTGTCAAAGAGAATTTCGAAGAATCGGCCTGGACAGAGAAATCTTCTGATAAAGAAGAATTGACAACAGAGAAGACGCCTGACCACAAGAGTGAGAGAGATGTGGACATGACAAAATGTGGAAAGAAGCTAGAAAAATGGTCAGATGAAGAGAAATGTCCAGATGTTTACAGCAAAATAAACAAAGAGGGGACAGGAAAAGCCTACTGCTATGAGGAGACAGTGTACCAGACTAAATATGAACCTAATGCAGGAGACTCGGTTGAACAGTCACCGGCAGCTCTGTCTGATTCCAGCCACAAAGATCATTTTGGCCAGGAGATGAAATCAGAGACATACAAATCCGAGTCTCCAACTGCATCTGAGAGCTCAGTGAAAACATTGCCATTCATTTCCAGGGGTGACCTTGAGCAGGATCAATACTCCACAGGGAAGGAGGACAGCTCAGAAAACACGTCTCCAACTCCTCAAGTTGAGGCCTTGGAAGACTGTGTCTCAGACAAGAGAGACACAAGAGACCTGGACAATGAAGGAGAGGGTGAAGAGGAAGAGAGAGAAAAGGAGAAAACCAATGCAGAGGAACAAAAAGAAACAGAGAAACAAGAAAAATGTTCCCTTTCACCACCTCTGTCTGTAGAGGTGAGGGAGGAACTGGGGAAGGGTGGGGAATTGACCGAGTCATTGAATGAGGAGCACATGAATAAAAGAGATGAATTAGAAAAGATGTCTGGGGATATTGGCAGCAAGACAGAGAGCCAGACTGCTGAGCTCCATTCTGACAATGAGTTTGCAGGGGGACCTGCCCATCCAAACTCAGCAGCAGTAACGGCCGCAGCAGATGCCTCTGAAATGGAGTCAGCAATTGGTGACACTGCCCCTCAGCCTCAGTCTGCTATGCCAGTCTTCTCCGCTCTCAATGACAAGGCAACACCTCCATCTCAGGCCAGGGATCATATTGATCACAGTGATGCTAAAGTGCTGGAGCCAGACTCTCCTCAACTACCAGGGAAGTCAATACTTCCCTCAGCCCCCTCCTGGGCAGACACTCCACCTTCCCCGAAAAAAGGTGATGAGGACATGGAACCAGGCATCAGCTGTTCCAGCGCTGTAACCCCTTTGGCCAAACCAGAACCTGTGGCTCCATCTGCTCAGCCGAGGGCATTTGGACGTAAGCATGCCAGGGGCAGAAGAAGAATCATGCATTCAGGTGTGGGAATCAGGCAACAGCTAAGCTTGGAGAGGGAGGGGGAAAAGGAAGAGGAAGGAGGCCACTCACACACACAGAAAACAAGCATGCCTCCAAGCAAAACCGAGCTATTCTCAGATCAAATGGATCTAGCCCATCAGGAATCTATTGTGAGTCAGACTCCCAAAATGCTAAGTGATGGTTTTCGTTCACGAATGTGCACACGCTCATTCAACGCACAAGATTTGCCACCTAAAGCCGAACCTCATGTAAAAAGAAAACCAGGCCCAAAGCCAGGTTCAAAGCCTGGGCCAAAACCAGGGCCAAAACCTGGTGTAAAGCCAGGGTCAAAACCAGGTGCAAAACAAGGGCCTAAACTAGCCCAAAAACCTGGCCCAAAACCAGGGCTAAAACCAGGACCAAAACAGGGACCAAAACCTCTGCCAAATGAACCAGAACTGCCACCGAAAATTGAGACTCCTATAAAACGAAAACCAGGACCCAAACCAGGTTCAAAGCCTGGACCAAAACCTGGGTCAAAGCCTGGATTAAAACCAGGACCAAAACCTGGTCCAAAACCAGCTCTCAAGCCAGGTGCAAAACCAGGACCTAAGCCTGGACCCAAGTCTCCAGGCATTTTGTCCCACACTGAAACTGCACCCATCAAGGCCCCAGTGGGCCGGCCCAAAGGTTCACTTACTAAACCTAAATTGTTGCAGCAGGAAGAAACCACTCAGCCTTTCGTGGGGCCGCAAAGCAGGAGTAGGAAGAGCCTGAAATCTACAATATCACAAGTAAACCAGGGAGCAACACAAGAGGAGCAACAAGCACACCATGAGCTAAAGACGCCAGAGAACGAGAGCAAAAATATGGTTTTGAGATCCAGGAAGCCCTCCCAGGAAAAACTGTCAAAAGAAAAAGAAAAAATAATGGGTGAAGATATTCTCACAGAGACAGTCACAGAATTTAAAGCCAGCGATGTTTCTCTTAAAGAAGAAGAGCTCATAACTGTGGAGCAAATGCTCTCCCCCATTCAGACTGCAGTCACAGATAATGAAGTTACAGGAGACCCACCCACACCACACATGCCACCTGAGCAATCTGAGGAAAAGATCCCCCTTCCACTAAAACGGAAACCTACTTCAGAACTTTCTACACCATTAAAAAGAAAGAGGGGTCCAAAACCCAAACCAAAAACGTTACCACCTCAGCCCGCCCAGCTGGAACAGGCCGTCCCAACACCTAAAGAGAAGGTCACACGCGGCCCACGAAGAAAGCGAGGGCCGCCTAAGAAAGAACCTGTGGTCACTCCCATAACCAAAGACATTCTGGCCAACACCAGTGGACCTGACATCACTAGTGACCTGCCCGTGGTGCCTCCTCAGTGCCCCACTAAAACAAAAGTTCTCCCACCACGCAAAGGCAGAGGACAGAAATATGAGGCCATGGTGCAGAAGATTACATCTCCTAGCTCAAAGAAACACCTCCCAATTCCCCAGCTAGACAGCAGTCTGACTGATGACATGACAACCAAGGCTTTGCCTGAGCGTATCTTAAAGGAAGGTGAGACGTCTATTGTGACGAACAGCACTGAGGTGATAGAGTCTCAACAAGATGGAGAGAAGCAACTTGAGGTGGGAGAGAGGAAAGTGGAGGTGACACAAGACAGAGAAAAGCAAGACATGAGTCCAGAGGCACCAACACTAGAGGGGGTGAGACAAGGGCTGGAAGAAGAGGTTGTAAATAAAAATGAAGCAACACAGGAAGATATTAAACCAGGGACAGAGCAGGGTGTTCTAGCTGATAATGTCTGGAGTTCAGAGGCCGCAGTAGAAGGCAGCGCTCCAGGTGAGTGGATACCAGAGGCCTCAGAGGGTGTATCTACAGCTGCCGCCAAGTCTGTGAGGACTAAAAGGAAGCGATGGGCCATGGTGGAGAGTACAGATGCCTCAGTGGTAGCATTGGAAGCAGGGAGTCTAATAGTTACAACACCAAGACTAGCAAAGCAAAGGGCCATCAAAAACAACCATGAGATGCACCTGAAACAAAGGAGGAAGAAAAGAAAAGGCCAGTCCTCTTCAGAGGAAACAGATTTAGTTGAGGAGGCTAACACTGAAACAGACGAGCAACAGGAGAGTGTGGAGGACAAGGTGAACCCCACAGAGCCCACAGTACCTCTGCCAATCAGCACAGATGACATCATAGAAACTCCCCAGGTTACCAGTACAGACCTCATCCATAAACCTCGAAGAGGCAGAAAACCATCAGCAAGCCCAGCTAAAAGGAAAAGAAGCAAAGCCTCAACAGAGCCGATTCCTGGCAAGCCAATTAAGATCCACAAAAAGCCCGGGCCAAAACCCGGGATGAAAGATGCCATCGAGGTAATTGAGGCAGTAGTGAGGGCAGCCGGATGTGAACAGGAGGAAAAAGAGGAGAAAGAAAGACATGAAAGGGAAAGAAGGGAAAAAGGAAACACAGAAAACGAGGAGATGTGTGTTATCGGTCCTGTAGTGACAGTATCAGAAAAACGGACTGAGACCATTTCTGTGAAGAGGATCAGGCGTAGATGGGTCCATCAAAGGTCTAAACTGTCTTTCTATCCTTATGTACGGATTAACAACTCAAGAGACTTTTCTTCCTGGTGTGCCATAGTCAACAAGGCAGAGGATGCGGTCGTATTTCAGAGACGCAGAAAAAAGGGCATCCTCAGAATGAGGAATCCTTTCACCGTTGCAAAGGTAGTGCCACACACTGCTGCCATGCTGCAGGGACCCACAATAAATAAAGATCTTGTTGGGAGGTGTCTGACATGTTGCCTGTGTGGGAAACCGGCAAACTACAAAGACTTAGGTGATTTATGTGGACCTTACTACACGGAGGACGGGGTTCCACGGAAAATCTTGACGATTACACACACAGAAGCCTTCAGGGAAGAGTTGGACAAGACCAACGACGACAACAGCGGCAGCAGCGAAGAACCGGGCAACTCCTCAAAGAGTGATACTGAGGGCACCCCAGAAACGGAAGGAAATACAGAAGCAACCGCTCAAGAGGGAAGTGTTAGCAGTAGCAGCAGCAGGCACCACTGGCGTTTCCGACGGGCAGAAAGAATGGAAAGACCGGGTCGGGAAGGTGGCCTACGAAGGTTAACTCTCCGAGAGAGGTTCAAGAGGATGAAGCAGCTACAGGCCGTCAACACAGGAGCCCCCACGGGCCAAGTGGGCAATGAAAGCTTGTTCCAAAGGCTACAAATGGAGGCAGAGGCTAAGGAGCACTGGGCCCATGAAAACTGTGCCATCTGGACCAAGGGGATAATTATGGTAGCTGGAAGGCTATACGGACTGAAGGAGGCAGCCAACACCTCAGCCCAAACGGTATGACAGCAGTTATCATCAGTGAATCTTAGACCAATCTGACATGTGTTTGGATGCTAAGAAATATCTTTCAGAATTGCTGAAAACTTTTAACATTTTCCCCTCTTTTCTCTCCCTTTCTGAATGTGCCTCTGTTGGTCAAACTGTGTGTTTCTTTACTGGTCTTGGTCCATATGTCCATCTGTCTTACTAACCCCAGAGCTGCTACAAGTGCCAGATTGTGGGGGCGTCCCTCAGCTGCTGTTGGAGAGGCTGCTCTCATAAATACCACTATGTCTGCGCCAAAGAGATAGGTAAGAGACCACAGCGAGAGAGGGAGGGAGCAACAGGGGGATAAAAAGACAAGAAAAAGCTAAGAAGAGAAGGGAGAAATGAGGAGGGAAATTGGGAATGTGAATGATGAGAGGCCAATTGGGAGGGAACAATTGTAGAAAAATAGGTGGGAAAAAATGAAAAGAGAGTGCAGGGGAAGTGGTTGTGGTTAAATGAGAGTGAGAGGGGGGGGAAATGCATCAAGGAGTAGCATTATTGAGTGCGAGAAGAGATGTCTGAGAGTGTTAGGGCAGAGCAGAAGAGGAAAAGAGAGAGGGAATGAAGAAGGGAGCTTTGAATACAGGGAATGATGAGAGGAAAGTGCAACCCTGGAGTGTGCAAAAAGGAGAAAGCGAAGAGATAGAGGGAGGAGGCTGAGCTTGCATGTATGTGTGTGTGTGTGTATTATTGACCACAGCCCCTGTGGCTCCATCCATCCACGCTGCTGCTGTCTGGAGGCTGAGCGTGCATGTGTGTGTCTGCATGTTCGTGCCTTCCTCTCCAAATGCTTGCCAGAACACTGCCATGCACACCTTATAACAACTTGGCCAACGTGCATTTCCATCAGCGCTCGTGTGTGGTTGCTGTTAATACAAGAGAGTGTCCATGTGCCAGCATATGTGTAACATGGTTTCCCCCTTATATTATCTCATGCCAAGGAAGTACAGTGCGAGGATTAAACGGTCTGCCACGTCTGCCGAGCCAGCACAGGGAGCAGAGCGAGGCCCTTTTTTAATCCCGCTGAGTGCACCAGCCATATCTGACTGCCTGCCTGCCTGCCTGCCTGTCTGCATTGCAACGTATCCACTCAGTCTCCCTCTTTCCTCTGTTGCTCTCCCTCGCCTGCATCGCTCTTTTATTTAGCTCAGTTTTTTTCCATTCATTTGTGTTTTTTGAGGAGAGCTGTGGGTTTGTTTTGTTGTTGTTGTTGTTGTTGTCAGGATTAGCCTCCTGGTATGGTTTTTATTCAAAGTAAAATGTGAATCTGAGATTTCACACCTCATTCTGTTGTTCTTTGCTTTTTCTCTTTCTGCACAGGCTGCACATTCCACGAGGATGACTTCTCCATCAAATGTCCTAAACACGAGGTAAGGAGAAAAAACCCACTAAACTAGTGAAAGCATGCTTTATTACTTCGTCCTGCTTTAACAGTTAGTTTAACAGTTCCCCAGCATTTCACAGGCAACATCAGACATCAGTGTTTACACATATGCCTAAGCACACAAGTTCAGTTTTTCTTTCTCCTCACCTGGCCTCCCTTTCCATTCCGATCCTAACACCAACGCCGCCAGCAACACCCCCCACCATCCCCTGCCCCTCTCTTTATCCACCTCCTCAGCACAGGGATAAAAAAAAAATTGAATTCACACATTTCTATAACAAACAGCAGCACCTTGGCTGAACAGATGATATGGTGCTGAACAGGAAACACAACCGTCAGTTCCTGTAAAGCAGAGAAAAAAAAAAGAAAAAACACAGCTGATGTTCATTGTAGACTGGCATAAAGTACCATTTTCTCTTTGCCACATGAAGACTTCAACGTGTACCCAGTGTACCTCGGCGAGTTAAAATCACCACATCAACCGCCACGAGCGCCCTTCATTTATTACCGTCACCTGCTACTGTGACTTCAAACTGCTGCATTTGCAGGGTCACTGTTCTCCGAGTTCATTCGAATGGTCTCCTCCACGTCCAGTTCTTCCTTGTAGGGCAGATGCCATCTGGTGGCGATGCGTTTGCATGGCAAAAGGAGGAAGGTCAAATGAGGGAGGGAGTGTGGAGGGGGAGGGGGTGCTAGAGATGCTGACATTCAGCAGGGAGCAGCGGTGCATTGAGGCAGCAGTGGCAGTAGCCTCCCATCCTCCCTCCCCGCTCTGCATCTCTCCCTCCCTCCTTTCCTCTTTTCCTCTTCCTTTCCTGTTCTCCTCTGTGCAGACTGACAGGGATGAAAAGCTGGCTGCTGATCAAAACACCCCACCCACCATCACTGCCTGCTATCTTCCCCACATGCTCTCTCCACCATTTCCCTCTCTCTTGCTCTCCTTTCTCTCATTATTTCTCTCCCTTCCTTCCTTTTTCCCCCCTCCGCTCCCCTTATTTTGCTTCGCTGCTACCCTGCTGTTCCAGCTCTCCCCCCCCCTCCAGTCTCTCACTCTGTTCACCTCTCATCTCCTGCGAGCTCCCTTTTCCGTTTTCAGTCGTCCTCCCTTCATCTTTCCTCATCCCATTCTCCCTCGTTCTTTGTCATCTTCTCCACTCCTCTCTTCACCTCAACTCCCACGTCTAAGCAGCAGAAATAGCGTGTGAGAAACGGAGAGAAAAGGAGAGCGAGTCAGAGAGGGATAGATTGTTGTTAGCAGGCTGAGGCAGAGCTGTCATCAGCTGAGGGATCTGAAGGTCTGCATGTGTGTGTGTGGGGGGTCTGTGCCGTGCCAATTTACGCCGAGCGGCTTAATCAAAGGGAAGAGCAGAGACACACGTACGCACACATACAGACACAAGCACACAACCACCCCACCCATGGGTCCCCCTAAGAAATTCTCCCTTTTGCCTGCGTTCACTTGCTTTTAGGGCTGAGGGGAAAAAAATGCACACAAACACACTGCCTGCAGCTGTGGATTGTCCAGTGCTAACGGACACACACTGTGAGAGTCCACGCAGGTTCATTAACAGGTTGCCTGGAAGCTCGCACACATATACACATAGTGAACGCAAGACAGACAGGCAGAGAGAAAAACAGAGCGTTTTGTGCTGCAACTGAGTGGGAACAAAAGACGAATGGGGGCAGTTACATCAGAGAGTGGCAGGCTGAAAGAGACGGAGATAGAAGGAGAAAAAGAGGGCAACAAGAGAGACGAGCAGCAAAGGGAGCGACACTCTGTGATAGAGAGGTGGGGAGAAAACAAGCGGGACTGAAGGTGTGAAGGAAAATGAGTTGTACCAGTGAGGAAAAAGCAAAAAAAGGAGTGAGAGGTAGGCTTTAAGGAGGGAGGAGAAGGGGGGGGGGGGGGGAGTAGAAGGATTGAAAGTAGAAAGATAAAACAGAGAGAGCAATGCTGCTGGTCTGAATCCAGGGCATAAGGATGGGCAGCTGGCAGTTCAGAGAGAGAGAGAGAGAGACAGTGGAAGAGATACCAGGGGATGCAGAAGAGTAGAAGGGGGAAAGAAAGTGCTCAACCACCACACCAGCACAATTTAGAGGTGTTCCTGCTGCGTCTTTCATAGGCGAGCTGGTTCACTGGTCAGCTGCATCCATCTCCCCACTCCAGCACACCAGAGCCAGCTTGCTTTAATGCCTTCACTCTGCAAATCTGCACAGAATCCCTTTCAGCATTGTATTATACCAACATCTGCACAGAAGACGCCTACGCTTGCAGTTTACCTGTCTGCACATTTACTGCAGCTTTTGAGAATTTAGGTGCTTAAATTCGAGCACACAAAAGCCTCACAAGTCACAGGAAATGATGAGAAAAGAGCTCGAGAGTTCTGGGCGAGGAAGGAAAACTTCTGGCACACCTCACACATTTGTATCCCGATTGTGTTTTTGACTTTGTGTTTACATCTGTGCACTTCCTTCACAGGACCTGTAAGATATTCCTGTGTATCACTTTCATCGCCAACACCATCACCTCTCCGCCAGACAACACCGATCCAGCGAGGCAAAATCCACTCCCTATTCCTAAAGACACGGTGACGACTGATGACGAACAGGCACGCCAGCCAGCGCGGCTGGGGGAGGGTTAAAAGGCAGCGCTGAAGTGGAGCTAGGAGCAATACAAACAGTGGAAAAACAGCTCTGCAGAGAACAGCTGCTCCTTGAAGCCGCCCTAGAAATGTGCTTTCTCAACTGAGCCCCTGACTGCAAGGCAGAAGGCAGTGACACTGTTTAACAGGAGGGTAGGCTGCGCTTTAGAGACTGTGCGCCTAAGGCCAGTGCACATGGGGACCCGTTTGAAATGCAGAGCGAAGAACGCATGTGTGTGTTCTGCCTTCGGATGGGTTGCTATCATATTCAGACACTCGGCGGACACTGATTGGACAGGGACATCCCTCTGGCCACCTTGTCTGTGGGCCAAGAGGTGCATATGTGTGTGTGTATGTGTGTGTGTGTGAGAGTGCGCGCATGTGTTTGTATGTGATAACCATAGAATTGTCATTCTCCAAGCACACCATCAGTGTGTTTGTGCATATGTGTCTGTGGGAGTATGAAGAATTGCTTCTCTAACTCAAGATGTCACGCGTCAAAAAAAAAGAAAAGAAAAGAAAAAAACAGCAGCCAACCCCTGGATGTATCTCAATGTGCGTGTTTGTGTTTAAAACAAGAGACAAAATGAAACAGGTGAGGATGAGGAAACCGTACAAGATGATGATGATGATGATGATGATGTGCTTCACAGGCTCAAAATATTCTGATACTGAAGAGTTGAGAAAAAAAATGGACGCAGTATTTTAATATAAGGCTCTTATCTCCGGAGATGTATTTTGATGTGCATTATGGCTAAACATCATTGCGTCACCCTTGGTATATGTCCAGCTTTGTGCTATTCAGAAATTAAAATATATATATATAAATATATGAAAATGAGAAAAAAAATATGAACTCTGTTTAAGAGTTTACTTCAACTGTGCGCACAGTCAGTATGTACAGCAGACACCACCATCATCACTCGACAAGCTGCAGACGAGGGCTCAGAGGACCCACCGGGAGTCAGTCCATCCACTTCATATCTATGTACAGTTCAAGAAGTATTACCTGTTAACAACATTTCGAGATTATTTCGCACACCACAGCCGCGAGGAAAGACGTACACACACACCCATCTGTTTGTGTATCGAAAAATGTAGCCTCTTTTCACTCCGCCATGCTATATAACAATGCCCCGTGCGGGGCGTCAGTTAAAGTACCGGTCGTTTTCAAAAGGAGACATATTTAAGTATTAGGGCATAAAAGAAAGTGCAAAAATGCCACACCAAACTTTCTCTTTTATGAAGCTCATTATTTAATGGTGTATATAGGTATTTGATGCTGTTTAAATGTAAAATGTGATGTACTAATATAATTGTGTATAGTATTTCCTAGAGATGTTTATTTTCTATAAAATGGAATATGTTATTGCTTATAAAATGTTATTAAAAGAATCCATTGATGAAAAAAAAACAAAACCTTTTTTGGGAATGTCACTTGTCTTAAGTGGGAGCATGCCGTTTATTGATTTTCATGTCTATTTGTTTGGACTTGATGACACAGCATCACTCTGTTTGAAATGTTTTTTGTAACGCCAATGTTAAATATACCAGCACCTTTCAATGCTGCTATGACCAATGCCTGCTCTTTTTGTCTTCACTCAACACGCACTGACAGTAAGACATGTAAATTGTGGTTCTGTGCAGAGTGGCCACTCAAGGGCGCAAATTAGAAAGAGGAATAATGACAATGCTTAAAAAGCCATATTTTAATACAACTAATCCTTAACATGATAAGAAATCATACAGAAACATTCTGCTATTTATTATAATTAACAGGACCCATAATGCTCATCTTCAGCTCCATACGTTTGTTCTTGGACTCTGCTAGAGTAGCTTTGCATCAGTCACATTTCAAAACATCATCTCAACCTCTCACTGAAACAATAATTAAGTCAACTTTGTTCTGATTGGCTGCCCCTCACAAACAGAAGGTTTAAACACCAGTTCTCTGGGCGAAAAGGTCTTCTTGACGCTGCGGGTCAGAGGAGTTATAGGATGGCAACACTAACTCAAATCACTCCTTACAACTAAGTTATGCAGAAGAGCGTCTCTGAATGCACAACACCTCGAAACTTGAAGAAGATGGGCTACAGCAGCAGAAGACCACACTGGGTGCCACTCTTGTCAGCTAGAAACAGGAAACTGAGGCTACAGTTCACACGGGGTCACCTAAATTGGACGACAGATGCCTGGACTGATGGGTCTCAATTTCTGTCACGACATTTGGTTGGTAGGCAAAAACAGCATGAATTCACCCTTCCTTATAATTATGATTAGGTGATGGTGTAATGATGTGGGGGAGATTTTTGTGGCACACTTTGGGCTCCTTACAAGCAACCATGCATTGTTTAAACACCACAGCCTACCTGAGTGTTGTCGCTGACCATATCCAGCCCTTTATGACCACAGTGTACCAACTCTGATGGGTCCTTCCAGCAGGATAACATACTGTGTCACAAAGCTCAAATCATATGAACCTGGTTGCTTGAACATGACGAGTTCACTGTATCCGAATGTTTTGACAAATCTACAGCAGCTGCGTGATGCTATTGCACCAATATGTACCAAAATCTCAGAGGAACTTTGTTGAATTTGCCACAAAGTAATAAACGGGGTTCTAACCCAGTATTAGGAAGGTGCACCTAATGACGTGTTCCAACACATTTATTGGCAAGCTTAAGGTCACTGGTTTGATTCCAGCTGGAGACACAAATCCCCTTTGGGGTTTTGTCAGGAAGGGAATCCTGCGTGAAACTCAACCCGAAAAATGGAGCCTTTGCTGACATTAGTCCATATCTGAGTTAGAATTTCAGCCAGACACAATGCAGACATCCTCTCAGGTTACTGTAGGACTTTTAATTATTGATCATTTTTCAACCCGTATTACCCAGTTATTTCAATTACCACAGGAAACGCTCATTTCTTCTTTACAAAATATTTTAATATTTACATGACGAAAAGGAATAGATGAAGAACAAGGAAGAGATGAAAGCATGTCAGTGAAAGGTCTACATCAACATTACCTTCAGACATGGTTGCATCACTGTCATCTTAATCCCATGTTTTTCAGTCTTTCACATTAGTCACATGCTATAAAAAAAATATACTGGTCCTGGGACATGTCAAAAAATTTGTTAAAAAAAAAAAACCCAAAACAATCCTCTTAAAAATTAAAACATGGTGCTTTCTCTATGAAAGAAAGCAATAATTGAAAGAAAAAGTAACATTACAGCTACAAAAAAAGAAGATTTCTCACAGGTTTTCTTTGGAACAAAAGGAAAAAAAGTTAATTATTTCAAAACCTTCTGCATGACATACGCAACTTTTTGTAGTTGTACAAACTACAAAAAGTTGTACCAACAGCTCATGTTTAGCTTCAGCTGTTGATTTACAAATAACCAGTGCCTACGACAGTCGCATGGGTATGCAACGCTAACCTGATACTGCACAAGATAACCAGATATGCGGCGCCTAGTTTAAAACTGCAAAATAAAGCAAGATTAAAAAAGGAAAAACAGGCATTAAATTACTCTTCTTATGCAAAATACTGCTTGATCAAAGATCATAAGATTATAAATACATATTAAAATATGTACACAGCAAAACAAGAAGGAAAAAAACAAACAAAACGCGACCTCTATGAAAATAACCTCATAAAGCCATAATATTACTTATCTCACTGAAATCAGCCTCACGGGCTTAATGCAGATAGAGAAACGGGGCTCAGCTTGTGAGGCATGATTTTTTTTGTTGTTGTTGTTTTGTTTTTTTTAAATTTACCTCAACAGTTACTGTTTAGTGCTTTCCCACCACACAAGCCCATGCACTCAGACCAATCCAAGTTCTCGTTTTTCTCCCACAAACACACAGATGCCTCATTCTGCAACCAATCAGAGCAGCCCGCCACTCCAGCCCACTAAGCTCTCCGCTAATCGGGAAAAAAAGAAAGAAAGAAAAGTGGGGCGAGTGGGGATACGCCAGTAAACGCAGGGCAAAAACCACTTTCATACTTCTCACCCTCTCCAGTTTCCATTAGAAGGACACGACAGCTCCTCTTTGTGGGCAAACTGTGGCACTGCAACACTCTCACCAAGTGATTCTTTTTTATTTTTTTTGACAAGAGGAAAATCGTTTTTTTAAATAATCCGCAGCAACAAGAGTGGGAACTCGACAAGTGCTTTGTTGTTTGACTGGGGTGATGGGAGGGACAACGCATGAAGAAAATCCAGTTTGATATGAATCTGTACAAATCTGTTCGATAGCTGCTCACCAAAGAGAGACTGTATGGTTTTGTCTTCTGTCTGTCTGTGTGATTTTGTATGTTACAGATGTTTTTATATATATATGTACACAACGTCCATGCGTGTCTCTCAGCACCCCCCCTCCCCTCTAGCTGTTGGTGACGGTGGTGCCGCTGCCCAGTTTTATGATCATTTGCTGGCAGTCGTGGAGGGTCCTCTTGTCTCCCAGCTTCTCCAGGGTGCGGGCAGCGTCGGCCAGCATGCCCACCCTTTGGCCCGGAGCCGAAAGAAAGGATGGAGGAAGGTAGCGGCACGCCAGCATCACAGCCTCCGCCTGCTCCCGCTGGCCAGGCCGCATCTCACACTCCTCTGCACACACACAACACACAAAAACAAAAACAGTTAGTTACTGTGGCATTTCGGGTGAGCTTTTTGATGTCGTTAACCAGCAACAGCCAAACAGAGTTTAATCACTGATCTGATTTATAACGAAAACTGAAATGGCCTGCCCTTCTCCAAAAAGCCTCCCACCATCACTTATAAACACAATGACAAATCAACAGCATGTCCCAGCTTCTCTGTCTGCCACAAAACATGCTAAATGAATGGTAAATAAAGCAAATACTAAAAAAAAAAAAACTAAAGTAATTAAGTCTAACAATCCATAGATTGCTTTTAGTATAAAATATATTAAAATACATTGGATTTCACCTGTTTATCCATTCATCAAGTATTCTAAAGAACCTTAGAAAATAATGTAAAGAATTTGTTTTCTAGCAATTCAGGAGGATCTCCGAATGTCTCAAACAGATATATATTTAGTTTAATAAAACACAAGTCAAGAAAAAGCATCACATCCCCAGAATGTAGAAGCTGCACTTATTAAATGATGGCCCTTTTTTGACTAGACTTAATAAAGAAATACATTTTCAAAGCAGACGGATTAGATAAGGACCGAGTGACATAAATATTCAGAGCTTTCTCTGTTACTTCACCAAATTAAAAATATCAACAGGAGTTATTAAAACGGAATCTTCCTGCAGACAGAATCACCAGTGCAGACTGAATGAAATATCAAATCCACAGTAATATTGTACACACACGCACACACACACACACCTGTCTTGGCTCCGGGTGTTGCTCTGCGCCGCAGTGAGCGATCCAGAAGCTGATGTGTGCGGGTGGGACTGGCCCCCGCCATCAGCCTGGCCGTAGCTTCATGGAGAAACAACTGGAGTGCAAAGAGAGAGAGAGGTGAGAGAAGAGGAGGAGGAGGAGGGACGACAGCGAGTGATGATGACTCACACATAATGCTCGGCTCTACCTCTGAGAGACTTTGAAGTCTTGTGAACAATGCTGCTAAACGCTTGCCTCAGGGTGTGTGTGTGTGTGTGTGTGTGTGTGAGCGTGTGCTGCAACACCTCCCAACCTCACAGAGAATTATATATACCCTGCACTGCCTGCAAATACGTGCACTGGATTATATTTGTATCCATTTCCAATGTGCTGCTCTGTGCCAATGTGTGCCTTTATTAAGTGAAGAAATTCTATTCTTTTTAATTCACTCATTCACGATACATATGCAGCAGATTTGTGTTTTACACTTTCATTAAAGAGCATCTTAAGATTCATCTACTGAAATAGTTTTCAGTTGAGACACACTTTAGATTTAGCACAAACTCTTCTTTCATATTAGGCCCAGCACAGAGCTTTCATAAACCAAAAGGGAAAACTTAAAAGACAGAATGTGGTGACAAGGTTTTACATACTCTTCGCATCGCAGGTCTGAAACTCTGTGCCAATTTGCGTAGCGAGCTGAGGTCTTGCTGAAAGCCCACGAGCTCTGGTGGAGAGGCCTGCTGAATGCCCGCAGGGCCGCTGGTCCCCGCTGAGCCTTGCCCCGTGGGAGTGGCCCCTTGTTGCTGCAGACGCCAGACATTTGTCCTCATAACCAGCAGCAGATCGCACAACAGCAACTGGACAACCTAGCGAGAAATAATTAGCTTTAGTGCTCAAATAACCTCAACGTAAAAACAAAAATGAAAAGAAAAGGGAGAAAAAAAAAACCCCAGTCTCCACTGACCTCAGAACTGGATACTGAAGTATGATGAATATGTCATGTTTTAAAAAACACCAAGAATTAGACTAAAAAAAAAAAAAATGTTTGCATGTTTGTCATACAACACCGCTTCCAGTTTATAAAAACAAGTAATATCCATCACATTTTGCTCAGGACGTTAATCTACAAATAGTTTCAGCTGCTATTATTAAAACAGTCACTTTCGTAATGTTATGCATCTCTAATCGACGCTAAAGGACATTTTCCACCTGTCCTACGCGAGTGTGTGTTCTGCTGTGAGTGGCCCAGCTCTGTGTTGCACTGCAGGTACATTGCACTCAGCTGAGACACACATGCAATGCAACTACAATGCACTGCAGCTCTGGCCATGCACATACACCGCTGTGAGCTACCTATCCACCAGCATCACCATCTGCTGAGTGCCAGAGGGTAGGACACTGCAGCATCGCAGAGTGGAGATGCTGCGAGGGATTCGCTGTCTGGTGAAGTGTGTCGCTTTGTACTGTGACAAAGGTGTATGTGTCTGTGTGCGTGTAAAATTTAATCACTTTATAACTATGTAACTATTCCCGACATTTAAAGTATTCTTGTGCATTTTTTTCTCTCGTGCAGATGTTGTCACCTTAATGAAATGTCCCTCATAGGTGTAATAAACAGCACTTACGTGCACAAATCTGAAGGAGATTGTGCCTTTCTTTGTGCGTACCTTGTCTAAACTGGAGCTATGACAGTGTGGTCCCAGGTTGAGGCTGTCTCGGAGCAGGGCGCTGGCCTTGTCACTGTAGCTCAGACTCAATTGGCAGTTTTCTGGCTTGGACAGCAGAGCTCGCACTGCTCTGAATGTGTTCAGACAGGCTTTGGGCAGAAGACTCCTGATAGAAAGAGAGTGGTGGGCGGGCAACAGACAAAGGACACAGGTTAAAGTGGTGCAAGTGTTTGAGGGTGGGTGGGTGTGTGTCCTTAGCCTGGCATTTGCAGGGCAAAGTTCCAAATTCACATCTTTATACGTCTAACTTACTCTGCGTTCTGCAGACTGCGGGGCAGGTGCTCAACAGTCGGATACAGTCTCTCTGCTGCGGCATCATCTCCTTGGAGCCAGTTGATGATCACCACAGTGATTGAGGACCACCACTTAGAATGAGGGTCACAGCCTGGATATTAGAGGAAAAACAGTCAAAGCTGAGACACCCTCAGACAGAAACAAACATGCAGATATTTAAATCCCCGAGTGTCCACTTTCACATTTAGCATGCATGGCGGTGCACCCGTGCAGACAGCTGCTGTCTGCATTTTGACCTCTGAATCAATCTGTTTCTACCCTGGAGGATTTTGACGACTCCCTCACAAGGAAAAAGTACTCCATTTAACACAGGGCAACACACACAGACTTCTAAAACATGTAGCGAGTAACCTGAGGCTCCGCCAAGAAAAGTCTCCTATTAAAATCCCTGCACAGTCTCTCATCCCTCCCGCTCCCTCCTTCCTCTCAAGGTGATCACCAATTTGACAGTGCTGAAGATAGATGAAGCAATCTAGCAAATGCCTCCCTTTCACCTAGCCCTCTCTCGCTCAGATCAGTGATCGGTAAGGACAAAGGAAAGCGGTGGGAGGATGGAAGTCAAAGGGAAATCAAGCTACTTGATCTCTGTAGTGTAAAAATGAACTTTGTCACACAGCTTCTTATTCTGCACGCGCAGTAAAGAAAGAGCAGTGTGCAGAGAAGGCTAATGCAATTATTGCAAAAAAGATAAGTAGCAGTGAAGTAAGGAGTACGCATCTAGACGTGGAACTGCTTGATGTACTTAAGCAACAGAAACATTTAGAGGCAAGTTCTGATTTTTCTAAAAGCACATTTTAACCAGATTAAAAAGTCGGTACCATTAGTGATCACTAATGTTTTTAGCGCTGAAGATACACTGTCAAAGATTACTTTTCAATATAAATATTCTGCATATT